GCAAGGTGATAACTCAGAAACTCTCACCTCCTCAGGTCACTTCCCGCTGCAGGATTTCATTCCCCAACCCCTACTTTTCAGCTTCCTTTTGAGTGTTGTTTTCTTCCATTAGATTGTAAGCTCCTTGAGGGCAGGGATTATCTTTGTTTTTTGGTATTTGTCTCCCAGCGCTTAGCATAGTACCTGGCGTACAGTAGGTGCTTAATAAATGTTTATTGACTCTCAGTTTCAATCTGGCTGCAGCCATTTACTAGTTTCCTCAGTTTCCTTATCTGTAAAATGAAGGAGTTGGATCAGATGGCTTCTGAGTTCCCTTCCAGCTCGAAAGCCTGTAGACTGGTGATGTACAGCTTCTGTTACTAACTGATCCAAGCCTATTAGTGGGACATTTAGCTGCAAATTAAGTTCCTAGATATAGGGGGTGGGGAGAAAGGAGAAAGGTTAGCTATTACTAGTGTAATCTGCTAGCTGATTTGGATAAATTATTTTGTAAAAACACTTAAGATGTGTGTGGCCTGATGTCCACATGTTGGACAGGTAAGCTTTAGAGACATGTACTATAGTCATTTCTGGTTATCTGGTATATTCCTAGGGATGAAGTCCCTCTAGACAATCTGGTAAGGTAACTGTTTATGAAAAGAGGACAGGCTCTGTCCTAGCAGACTTGGGTTCAAATCCTAGGTTTGGTACCCTATGACCTTGGGCAAGTCATTTTAGTTTCAGTTTACTACTTTACTAACTAGGGATGATATATCCATTACCTATTCACTGGGTTGTTTGTGGATCTGTGTGTGTGTGGTGGGGAATCCTTTGTACCTTTTAAAACTCTTTGGCTGTAGAGGTTGTCATTGGGAAGCATGGCTCCCTGGAGCACTGGCCTCTTGTGGCCTGAAGCCTTAGTTCAAATCCCAGCTCAAGCACTGGCTGTGGGCAAGTCATTCCCTCTCCCTACATTTTGTGAGTAACAGTACCTGCACCTCACAGAATTGTTCTCAGAACTAAATGAGAGGTCTGCCAAAGTGTTTTATAATTAGGAAGCATGATATCTTTGTAAAATTCTGGTCTTGTTGGTGAAGGTACTAGAAGGACCAATAAAATATCATGCATTTATTAAGTGTCTGCTGTGTACCCAATGTGCCAGGCTCTATGCTAAGCACTGAGATTAAAAATAGAACCAAAAAAGAATTAACCCCAGCCTTTAAGGAGTTTGTTACCTTAAGGAAATAATGGGGGAAATTCGAAGTAATTTGGGGACAGAAATGTGTTAGCAACTTAGATAGACCAGCACAAATGATCGCATTCCATTTTTTTTTGGAGGCAATCAAGGTTAAGTGACTTGCCTAGGGTCACACAGCTAGTAAGTGCCAAGTGTCTGAGGCCAGATTTGAACTCAGGTCTTCCTGACTCCATTGTGCCACCTAATGCCCCTATCTCATTCCTCCAACAGATTGATCCTCTGCATCCCCATTCTACCACTCAATTTCAGCTCTCCTTGTCTCCTGACTCCTTCCCTCCCTACTGCCTATGAACATGTCCGTGTCTCTTTCATCCTCAAAAATACCTCACTTGGCCTGCCATCTTTGCTAACTATTGTTCTATATCTCTTGTCCTTTGTGGCTAAACGCCTTAAAAAGGGCGTCTACAAAAGGTGCCTCCATTTTCTCTCCTCTTACTTTCTTCTTCACCCCTTACAAGTCAGCTTCCAACCTCATCATTCCAATGAAACTGCTCTCTCCAAAGTTACCAATGATCTATTGTCAAATGAGTCCTCATTCTCCTCGACCTCTCTGTAGCCTTTGACACTGATGACCACTCTCCTCTTGGACGCTCCTTTCCCTCTGAGTTTTTGGGACGCTGCTCTGTTCTGGTTTTCCTCCTACCTGTCCAACTGATCCCTCTCTGTCTCTTTGCTGAATCCTCTTACAGATCACTCCCTCTAACCACAAGTGTCCCTCAGTGTTCTGTTCTGGGCCCTTCCTTTTCTCTTTTCTTTCTGATACTTCACTTGGTGTTCTCATCAGCTCAGATTTAATTCTCAGATCTACCTCAGCCTCTCTGCTGACCTCCAGTATCACACAGATGGAAGTGTGAGACGTGTCCAGCTGGATGTTCAGTAGACAGCTTAAACCGAGTATGTCCAAATCAGAACTCATTATCTTTCCTCCTAAACCCTCCCACCTTCCTACCTTCCCTATTACTGTAGAGGGCAACACTATCCTTCCCGTCCCTCACAACCTAGGAGTCTTCCTGGATTCCTCACTATCTCTCACGTACCATATCCAATCTGTTGCCAAGGCTTATCAGTTTCACCTTTGCAACATCTCTCAAAGAACCCCCCCACCACCACCACCAATTCCTGACACTGCCTCCCACTCTGGTGCAGACCCTCATCACCTCACTCTTGGATTATTTCAATAGCCTGCTTGGGGTGGGAGGCTACCTGCCTCAAGTCTCTTCCTGCTCTAATCCATCCTCCATTCAGCCACTAAAGTGGCCTTATTTGGTCATTGTTTGGTTTCTGATGGCTCAGAGAGAGTGCAAACAGCAATTATTTCTGTTTTGGGCAAAAAACCCAAGGGTCTTCTCCTCCCAGATTGATTTTTTTTTTTACTAGATAGAAAAAGCCATTCTTTGTCTCATTTTTACCTAAACTTAATCACTGAATGGGTATTGCTTCAGTCAAACAGACCTGGGAAAAACCTTGGCTTAAAAAGGCCAGGGTCTCCCACTGCATCCTAGGCCATCTCCAGTAGTCTTGACTTATGTCTTGCCACTGGACTCCAATGACTCTGGAGGGGAAAGTGAGGCTGGTGACTTTGCACAGCCCTCCCTCACTTAAATCCAATTCACTTGCGTGTCATGGCATCACCTCCATGATGTCATGGTCCTCTTCGAGAATGAAGGAAAAACAACAACAACAACAAAGTGATTTTCATAAAGCACAGATCCAATCATATGACCCTCCCGCTCAGGAAATTCCAGTGGCTCCCTATTGCCTCCAGGATCAAATACAAAATGCTCTGTTTGGCATTCAAAGCCCTTCCTAACCTAGTCCCCTCCTGCTTTTCTAGTCTTACACATTCCTACCAGACATGTACTCTTTGATCCAGTGACCCTGGCTTCCTAGTTGTTCCATAGACAAGATGCTCCATCTCTTGGCTCTGGGCATTTTCTCTGGCCACCCCCCAGGCCTGGAATGTTCTCCCTCGTCATCTCTGCCTTCTGGCTTCCTGGGATTCCTTTAAGACCCAGCTAAAATCTCATCTTCTAAAGGAAACTTTACCCAACCTCTCCTAATTTTAGTTCCTTCCCTCCATTAATTATTTCCTATTTATCCTGTATGTGGTTTGTTTGTACATATTTGTTTGCTTATTGTCTCCCTATTAGATTGTGAGCTCCTCGAGAGCAGAACTGTCTTTGCCTCTTTTTGTATTCCCAGTGCTTAACACAGTGCCAGGCACATATCAGGTGCTTAATAAATGTTTATTGATTAAGAAAGGTTTCATGTAAAAGGTGGTACTTGACTTGAGCTTGAAGAAAACTAAGGATTAATGCAACCAAGATTAGAAGGGAAGCAGAAAGCTGGGAAACAATTTTTATAGCCAGTGTCTCTGATAAAGGCCTCATTTCTAAAATATATAGACAACTGAGTCAAACTTATACGAATACAAGTCATTACCCAATTGATAAATGGTCAAAGGATAAGAACAGACAGTTTTCAGATGAAGAAATTAAAGCTATGTGTAGTCATATGAAAAAATGCTCTAAATCACTATTGATTAGAGAAATGCAAATCAAAACAACTCTGAGGAACCACATCTCACCGATCAGATTGGCTGACATGACAAAACAGGAAAATGATAAATGTTGGAGAAGATGTGGGAAAATTGGAACCCTAATTCATTGTTGGTGGAGTTGTGAACTGATCCAACCATTCTAGAGAACAATTTGGAACTATGCCCAAAGGGCTATAAAACTGTGCATACCCTTTGACCCAGCAATAGCACTTCTAGGTATGTATTCTAAAGAGATCATACAAATGGGAAAAGGATCTCCACGTACAAAAATATTGATAGCAGCTTTTTGTGTGGTGGCAAAGAATTGGAAATTGAGAGGATGCCCATCAGATGGGAATGGTTGAACAAGTTGTGTTATATGAATGTAATGGAATACTGTTGTGCTATAAGAAGTGATGAACAGGCTGACTTCAGAAAAACCTGGGAAGACTTGTATGGACTGATGCTGAGTGAAGTGAGGAGAACAGAGAATATTACACAGTAACAGCATCATTGTGCAATGACTAACTTTGATAGACTTAGCTCTTCTCAGCAATGCAAATATCTAAGACAACTCCGAAAGACTCATGATGGAAAATGCTATCCACATCCAGAGAAAGAATTGTGGAGTCTGAATGCAGATCAAAGCATACTATTTGCTCTCTTTTTTTGTTGTTTTGTTTTGTTTCTTCTTTCTCATGGTTCTGCCCATTGGTTCTAATTCTTCTTTACAACATGACTAATGGGAAAATATGTTTAGTATGAATGTATATATAGAGCCTATTATCAGATTGCATGCCATCTTGGGGAGGGAGGAGGAGAAAATTTAAAACTCAAAATCTTATGGAAGTGAATGTTGAAAACTAAAAATAAATTAACTAATTAAAAAAAGAAAAGAAAACTAAGGCTTGAGGCAGAGATAGGGAGGGAGAGCATTCCAAGCATGGGGAACAGCTAGTGCAAAGGCAGGGAGATGGGAACTGAAGCACCATGTGTACAGAACAGTGAATAGGCCACTGTGGCTGAATTGCCATGAACGGAAGGAAGCAACGTGTAAGAAAACTGGAAATATTGTGAGGGTCTAGGTCATGGGAGGATTTGAATGCCAAATAATTGGGCTTTTTTTTTTCCTTCGGTGTTCAGATATTTAAAAGACCCCAAATAGTTGGCAGTCTTTTGGTTGAACGAGAATAGTTTTTTAAACTCTCCGTTTTCTTTTGGCAGAATTTTGCAAAAGAGTTTGTGATCAGCGATCCAAAGGAACTGGAGGAAGATTTCATCAAGAGCGAGTTGAAGAAAGCCGGAGGTGCAAATTATGATGCACAGACAGAATAAAGGGTCAATATCATCTCACCAATATCATCTGCCTGCTTCCCCCCACCCTGCAAAGGGATGCCAGCAATCGACCAGCCAGCCAGCGTACCAGGGAAGTGGGATGTGAGACAGCGCAACTAACGGGTGTCTGCACCCAGATGCCCTTCCCTTCTCTCCTTTCCTTATTGGGAAACATCTTTAGTTTTGTTTTTGGTTTTTTTTTTCTCCTTAATTTGATTCAAAAGTTTTACATGTGAATCAGATTTGCAGGCGCCTCCAGCTATGAGGCTCCTTCCCATTTTTCTGTCCTCCCCCATGTCTGCACTTGCAATGCCACAGCTCAATCATGTCATTGCTTTTCAGCGCCTGCTGAGTGTCCTCATTGTGGGTTTTTGGTGGGGTTCACATCTACCATTTGTCAACGAGACAGATACCATTCCAGGAGCTGCTTGAACGGCTTTCAGTCTTCTTAGGACACACACGTTTATTTTATCCAAAGGCTCAGACCCTTCTGAGTTTGCCCGAGGTATACCTCAGTCAGAGTTGCCTAAGCTTAGATCCAATAGATATAATGTGACTTAGTAGTTTCCAAAAATTATCTCCAACCCTGAGCTAAAGAAAGAAAACTTGCCTTAAAACTTGCTTGGCAGTTGTCCTGATTGGTGATATCCAGTTCCATTTTCTCCTCTTACCACCTCCCCCTCAAAATACTGGAAAGGAATCACAAGTTTGTAATTCCTGATTAGAATACTCTTCTGACCACAGTTCTGAATGGCAGAAGGCTGAACACAGAGGATGATAGTGAGAAGACACACGTTTCCAAGCTCCGCGTGGATGACAGGGCATTGGTGACAGAGGCCAAAGATGAGAGGGTCGTGTTGCACCTTGGGCCCTTCTGGCCCTCCCTGTATCAAACGGCCTTCTGTTTGCCCTCAAGAAGGCTCTTCTACTCAATGTAGGACACCCAGTTCATGAGCCAAAGGCCCCTCAGCCTTGCCTTAGCTGTTCTCCAAGAATCAGTCATCCAGCCCTTTTGGAACACAGAAGTCAGTTTCAGTCGGAACTTTAGGTCACTATGGAAACTTCAAAAGCTTTTTTTTTAAAGATGAAATTGGCATGTTTTTCATGAGCGTATTTTATATTCTTTCTTTTCATATCATTTAAGGAAAATATTGTACTGTATTGGGGTGTGGGAGAATATCGGCGCTAAAAACGATTTACATAAATAAATTTTTTTTCTTTTCCAAAACGAATGGTTGTGTTTTCCTGTTCTTACCTTCCATTTCCCTCCTCTACCAGTCATTCACATTAAATATCTCCTTCTTACTTCAAGGATCTGTAACTTCAATGTATACATAACTTCAATGTGTACACTCCCTTCCAGTCTGCTTCCCATCCCCAGCCCCAGCCCCATCCCCATCCTCATCCCCATCCCCATCCCCAGTCCCATCCTCACCCCTACCCCTGTACAAACTAGTA